TAAATATGATTTACATCTCATTTAAATACAACATGCTTTAAAATAATAACGTTTAAGATTTAATATTATTTTTACGTTGTTATATTATTTTGTATTATTTTTGTAGAGCCTAAATTTTAAATAAAAAATTTAATTTCCATAATAATTATCTGCAGTCTGCACTGATAGATTTGATTCTATAACTATGATAAATTCGTTTTGATCGATACTTTTATGCAACCATTTCTTCTGATATTTAATATTTATTTTTCTTCGTGTATTCTGACGAAATGGTGCCGGAGAATTAATCATAATTGCTCAAAGCCAAAGGGAGGATGCCAGGACTCTCGGTTCGTTAGGGCATCAGCCGCCGTCTGGCCGCGTGTTGTTGTCTATCCGATGATTTGCCAATTTCGTCTGGCGCTGTCTGTTCGTTCGGCTTGTTTACATAAAAATATTGCCAAGATGAACACGACAGGCGATGACGATGGCTGGGGCTCGAGGAACACATAATGAGGCAGACAACAGTCCAGACGAAAATGGTGAAAAGTCGTGGGGCCAGACTTCCCCGGCTTTGCAGTTTCCGTCGAATGCAAGTGGTAGTGAAAAAAAGCCAGACAACGTGGCAAATACAAGTAAATGCGTGACTTTCACTTTGATGTCGCACGAGGGGAAAGCAGCTGAAGGGATATATATTCGAGACAAGTGTCGATTTGACCAAAGCTAGTTCTTCATTCCAGCGAAATACTGCGCTGTTTGCATAGACAGGCACGTGCCGTTTGCCGGGAATTTCCCCCTTTGAGCAGCTGCAAAAGCTGCGAAGTAAGCAATCAGACAGGTTTTTTCCCTCCGAGGTGAATTCAAGTGTGATGGGATGTCCCAAAACAAGACATTAAGGAGCTCTTTTCACAAGGAATATCACTTCAAGGAAAAAAAGGAGCAACACCTCCGGAAGGGAACCTGACCGAAGCGAACACAAATTCTACAGCTCGCTGCAGGCGAGCTCAAGTCAGATGCAGAAAGTTGTAGAAGAAGTTGGAATGCCAGTCAGGTTGCAGGTGACACACCTTGAGGTGCTGCAGAACAAGATACCGAACCAGAGACATGGAAATTTTTTGGACAGACAGGCAGGAGGAGGCTTATCATGCCGCAGGACATGTGAAGGGGGTAATCAAAGCCCAGGCTGATGTCCTGCCACTTGCACTTCGCCGCAGACAACTGCAAGATAATGAAGCGTAAACTTAAAAGAAAACTGAGCGGGCGAATATAGAAATGTTTGCCCAGACTTTGCGATAAAAGTTGGCCGAGCCAAATTGTGTGTAAATACTTAAAAAGTCGTTAGGATGGTCAAAAGAAGCGGTCAGAGACACTGAGAAGTGCTGAAAGAGGTGGGGAGCTGTCGAGTGGCAGAGTGAGCTGGAGAGGCAGCCAAGTGGAAGGCTTTTAATGAGCAGTTGACGTCATCATCATTAAAAATGTGCAAGCTGCGATTGCGATGATTGATTGGGTTCCGTTTGCTCCTTTCAGCCGCCATTAAATGCGCCTAAAAGCGCGCAGCCATAAATTTGCTTAATCAAACTATTTAGCCAGCCGGTAGAAGGTAAAAGGTAGGTGGTAGATGCCGTATGCCTTATGGTGGATGTAGATGTCACGCATCGGAAGTCAAGCTGCTGCAGCTCCATTAAGGTTGCGGGTTACGGTTACGGGTGCAGGAACACTCCAGCGTAACGAGCGCCTCACATGTGTTGCATGCTTTTAGGCGCTGCTCAGACGACACACATAATCCTAATTAATTGCCGGCATCGGCATCAGCATTCAGGCAGCAGGATCCTCCATCCAGGAGCATAGGCTCTCTGTCCCATCCCCATCCTATCCCCATTCCATCCCAGCCGCAGCGAATGCTTTCTGGCAGGTGCATGTGAGCACTTCGTGCGCGCCATTTACCCAGCGAGTGTGTGGGTGGGGCAGCCCCCTTGCTGCACTGAGAAAAATGCACCTGAAGTCAGCTGGGATTGAATCAAGCAGAGTTAATGGCTCTGCCCGCACTCTGAACACACACACAGTATAGAAGAACGATCTCCAAACATACATGAATTTAACATACGTGAGTTCCTTGGAATTATTTTAAATGAAATCAGAGCATACTTTTAGACACCTTTAAAAATGTTTTTAAAACCGAAGATATATTTTTGAATTTTTTCTGGAATGCCGAATATTAACAGATTTTAAAGTCTAAGGCATTTCTGGGTTATTTCGAGGTGAACTTTTCAAAGAGCATAGCATAACATTTAAATTGAAATTATGGCTGCGCCAGGGCCATAACTTTTTCCCAGTGTAGCTGTCATCTCCTCCGATTCCCGATACCCCTCGTTTCATGCCAGTGCGCCATTATTTCCTTTTGATTTGCTTTGGCTGCAAAAGTCGTGGCGTGTTGAATGGCGTTCTAGTGAAGGGGCAAGCGACGCATTTCATGCACTCGGCTGAGCTTTCGAGTTGCTTAACGCGTTTGATGTTTGCTACCAGCTCAGGCACCCCCTTCCTTATGGCCCTCCATCCATAAAATTTAATGCATCCTGCGAGTGTGACAGCCTGGCGGGCCTACGAATATCCCAAAGCCCACATAATCCGCAGGAGACATCCTTGCTGTGGGCACTGGAAAATGCTGTAACTTTTGAGCCAGCCAAGTGATGTGAAAACCCGTTGTCAGCCGAAGGATAATTGGGTTTCACGGACGGAATTTAATTTCTGCATCTTTAAGAACCAGACACAGCAATGTTGATATTTGAAGACCCGGAAAGCTGCAATTGAGCTGCCCGCTCATCCCCAAAGGAAACAGAAAGAAAAATTGCAAAAGTTTTCAACTCGGTCGGGGGACCATTAAACCAGCCACAATAATCGATGCCCGAGTCGAACGAACATCGAAGTCTTGGTGGTCAGGCTAATTTCCCTGTGTCGAGCGAGAAGGCTTAGGAAACCAAGCCGGGAAAAAGGGCCCCGAAGTATGCAACACAATTTTAATTAGTTTGGAAAAGTATTTTAATTTTTGCAATTTGAGTGCCAGAAAAAGAGAAATCTTGGGACTTGGACTCGCCGCCCTGCGGCTGGCAACACCCGACATATTTTGAAATTCCTCTCTTTAATGATTATTAACATTATTAGTTGTAATGAGCGTCGTCAGCGCGTTTTAAAGTTCGCCATTGAGGCGTGGCAAATGGCAACAGAAATTTGCCTGCCATTCAGAGACCAAAAAAACAACAAGAGGCGCGGCAAAAAAAAGTGCCGGCAAAACGCAGAGAAAGTTGAAAAAGTTGGAGAGAAATTTTCGCAATTATTTTTCTGTTTTAATGTAATAGTGGATTCTGCCTTTTTTATGATTATTTTTTTCTTCTCCTCTGCGCACTGCACGTTCTACGCTTTCAAACAAAAAAGTTTGTTTAAACTATGTGGCCGGCCGGCCGGACAGACGGACGGACGAACGGACGGACAGAGTCTCTAGGTCTAGCGGTTGCGTCGGGCACGCCGGGAAATATGCTTTGATTTTTGGCCCGTCCATTGCGTGGAATGCAGTGTTCGAATTGTTTGGTCCCTGGCTTTCTGTGGACTCTGCTCGCACGATATATATAAATTTTATTTTTGGATATGCCAAAGTTTTCAAATTAAAGGCTCCCGGCTTTGACCGAAAGTTTTGCGGCTGTGGGCGGCTCTCTTTACCGTGATTAGTGATTGAGTTTGGTTCTTGGACTAACGCAAAGGCAGCAAGGCACTTACCTAAAAAGAGAACAAAAAAGTACATAAAGTGTTAATTAAAGTTGGAATAATGAGGAATGTGCGGAGGTAAAAAATTGTTTAAGTCTGATTATCAGTTCCATTCTCGGCTAGAATTCCCCGGGCAACTGAAAGTCTGCTTTGGGGGCAACGGGCATGGGCATCCCGAACTTAATTACACACAACTCATTTGTCGCACACAAAAACCACTCCCCAAAAAGCGCCACATGGGACTCGGTCGTCTGGGAAATGGAAAACCCGAAACGAAACGAGACGAGAGACGACACATGACATATAGCAGAAACAGGAGAAGGAGCCAAAACAACAAGGATCCTGGGAGCCGTGCCCCCAGCACAGACTTTTGTTTATATGTCATAAAAATTACTCATACGTTAATAATTTAAACGGATGGCTGTTGATGATGAGGTCGCAGGCGTCTGCAAATTTGCTTTGGCCAAGCCAGAAAGGCCAGGACTAACTGTAAATCAATACGAAATGAAAACCAAATAGGCGTCGTCCTGTTCGTGTCTCTGATCAAACACAAGGCCATCACCTCAAGCTGCTCTGCTCTCCGTGGCCCGATGTCCGATAAGTTTGGCTATCATGTCGGAAAATTCATAACCAAGGCAATGACAGACATGGAGCATATTATCTGATGTCTGTGGGTCGGGTGTGTGCGGTGGCAAATTCATTATTTCATCAATAAAACAACACAGCAATCAATATGGTGAGCTGTCCATTTTGTTTGCTCTAGCCATTCTGGCCGAGAGATACTCGTAAGTAAATACACGGCATATATCGTAGCATGTGTGCACTCCGTATATTTATTCATGAAGCAATATTAGAAAACTGGCATCAATTTCAAATTAGTAGGCTCAAAAAAACTCTCTTAAGATATGTTTGAATTAAATTTACTAGAAGTATTTATATTTTCATTATCTCAACCGTCTTCAAATTCTGCAAGTGTTTTATTCTGTTTGTTTAAGCTATAGAGAGTTAACATACAAATTCTAATTGTATAACGTTACTCGTTGGATAATAGGGGTATATTTTTTGACCCTATAAAGTATATATTCGTGCTTATAATTGAAATCGTTTAAATTAATTATGTAAAAGATCTAGAGGTTCCTAAAATATCATGCAGATATTTGTGATGCAGTAAAAAAATATTTTAAAATGATTATACTAAAATTTATTTAAAAACAAGATTATTCCAAGTTTACGTGGGGGCAGCCGCGGGAGATTTTATTGTAAAACTAAGCAAAGTTTTTGGGTAAGTTCTTGACAGCTTGGAAGGCGATCCTTCTAGGATCCGGGTGAATTACCCAGCTACCGAAGGCCAGGCGGGCAATGATGCTGATGGCCTGGGCACCCACCAAAGCAGGACGGTCCCACGAAGACCCATATGTATGTACCAAAGGCTTTTGTCGTTTTAGTTGGCCAAGATCACGGTGGCGGTCGCAAGGACGATCGCCCAGTTGGAATCGCATCTGCTGCATCAACTGGAGGACAACCGCCTTGGCGATCGCCGTCGTCCTCTGAACCATGTGTGCCGTCCTGCCTGCGGGAAGGATATGATTCTCTGGTCTTTCTGGAGATCGCAGCTTTAACAGATTCCAATGATCTTGGATTTTATTTTTTTGAGTCACACTTTGGAGTCGATTTATTCTTTTTGTCCGCTTCTTTTTTACTTTTTTCTTTTTCCGTCTGATCAAATGAGTCACATGCTTTCAGGACTTTGTCCTCCTCACATTTTTTCTTTTGTTCCTCCTCCTCTTGTTTCTTCCTTTGTGCCTCTTTTTCCTCCAGCTCTTTTAGCTGTTTGTTCAGCTCTTGCTCTTCACACTTTAGCTCGTCGATTTTTGACATTAGTTGCTCGCATTTTTTCTTTTTAGCTTCTTCTTCGCATTTTTTCTTAAGTAGGTCCTTTTCACATTTGTCACATATTTCTTGCTCTTCGCATTTTCTCTTAATCTTTTCCTCCTTACATTTTTTGTTTAGTCTGCATTGTTTCTCAATTTCATCAGCGCAATCTTTCTGCTCATTCAACTCTTTTTTCATTTGCTCTTCGCGTTTTTTCCGTACTTCACATATTTTCTTTTGAGCTTCTTCCATGCACTTTCTTTTTACTTCCTCATCACACACTTTTTTCGTGTCCTTGCACTCGCACTTTAGCTTTTCGTCCTTTTTGCTTATATCGGACTGTTTTTTGACTAGTTCGCAGCATATTTTCTTCAAGGCTTCCGCTTCGCATTTCTTTTTTTGGGACTCCTCGGCACACTTTTTCTGCTTCTCTATTTCCTCGCACTTTCTTTTAAGCCTTGCGTCCGCACATTTCTTCATGAACGCACACTTTTCGATATCAGCTTCTAGTTCCTTGACTTCAGACTCCTTATTTTTCTCGTCCTCGTGGCATGATTTCTCCATTATTTGTTTCACTTCCTCAGTAGCTTTTTCGAAATCGACGTCGTTCTGTTCAGTGAGATCTTGAATAAAAGGGCAAATGTCCTTCCATTTTTTCTGAACACACTTTTGGATCTTGTCACTTGCAGAGTCCTTTGATTGCGTGCATTCTTCGTCATCCTTCTGTTCGTCGCACTTAGTCGACTTCTTAGGTTCTCCAAAGGACTCGGCGCACATTTTCTTGATCACCATCATGCGGCACCTTTTCTTAACTTGTTCTCTAAGACAATTCTCAGCGGCCGCCACTTGCTTTTTATCCTTGGGATTTAGGTGCTTCTGGACCTGGCGCATATCTTCCAATTCTTCCTTAACGCACTCCTCCAACTTCTGCTCAAACGGAGACTTCGACCCGGGTTTCTCTTTATTTTTTTGACATTTATTCTTCTTTTTGGGCTCTTCTGGGCATGCCTGCTCTTCAGATTCTTTTTTGTTGTCCACTCTTGCACTCTTGTCTGCTTTTTTGGGGTTTTTCTTTTTACCATCTCTTGGAGATTCGGCTTTCTGTTTCAGCTCTTCAGCTTTGTCATTCTTTGCGTCTTGTTTTACACTCTTAGCTTTTTTATCAACTTTTTTAATATCTTTCTTCTTGGACTCGGAAGCCTTAGAATCCTTTGGACATTTAACTTCCGTTTTGCACACTTCTTTCTTCTCTTTTGGTTTCTTTTGGTCCTTAATTTCTTTCTTCTCAACTTTCTCTTTGTCCTTACATTTAGATTCCTTCGTTTTAGGAGGCTCCCCCTTACAATTATCTATTTTGGGATCTTTTTGTTCCTGTACTTTTGGTTTTGCATTGACTTTCTTTTTGGGTGATTCTTTGGGCTCTTCCTTACAACTGTCAATTACGGGATCCTTTAGTACCTTAGCTTTGGAGTCCTCTTTCTTTTTGGATGATTCTTTACTTCCTTTTACACTAATCTTCTTTTTTGGATAACCTTTGATATTCTTCGGCTTACCGTCTGATTTGTCCTTCTTGTTTTCTTTCCTTGGGGCCTCCTTGCAGTCAGACTTCTTTTGACTTTCTTTCTCCAACTCGGCTTGTAAGAGCTTGGAAGTTTCTTCTATACACTTCTTAAGCGTTTGTGATTCTTCAGCCTTTTCGTTCTTCGGTTGCCCCTTTTCGCACTGCTCCTCTTTGGGATCCTTAGTATCTTCCGATGCGCCCTCCTCTTGCTTGGCAGCACACTTCTTTATCAGCTCCTTGATCTTCTTCTCCTTTATCAGTCGCTCGTACCGGAGCTTCAGCTCCTTCTCCCTGCAGTACTTCTGCATGACCGACTTCACGCAGACTCTCTTGACGCCCGCCATCACGCAGTCCATCATCTCCCCCATGGCCTTCCGCTCCTCCGCTGTCATGCACTCCACTTTCGCCTTCAGCGCCTTCGTCTTCAGCTCGATGCACTTCTTCAACTGGCTCTTGAGGCGGTCGGCGTCCTTCTTGGTCTCCTCCTTCTTGTCAGCCGCCTTCTTCTTTTTCATTGCAAGGGCTTTTTGCTCCTTGAAGGCCTTGTAAGCCTGGCAGTCCATGAGAGGCGGATCGCAGTAGTTTCGCAGCTGCCACTTAAACGCCATGCCCATGGTTCCGCGCGTCTGAGGACCGGACAACCGCATTAGCAGACAGCCGGTGAATCTGGAGCACATTGTTAAAACCCGCGATAGGCCCCCACGATCCACAATTTAAAAAATATAAAATTTGGATTGTCGGAAGTTAAAAACGGAATTTTGACCCCGGGATCGGAAATAAAACTGCATATACAAACTACATTAGAGCGGCAATGGGAAATGAAAAGAATACTCTGTTTTTGGAAATTTTTCGAAAATACAGAGGAGGAAAAAACCAAAGAACCATTTTTTATATCTTTGCAATGGGTGTTATTTAATTAGCATACTCTAAAAGAGGGGACTTACTGCGGGGGACTGATTTTTGAAGAACAGTGCTAGCTGCCGCCCGCTAAAAGATCGATACCGTTCCTCCTTTTAAATATTCACATCAGTTAGTTACTAAACGTAAACTGTTGTGGTCTCGTTTCCTAAGTGCCACTGAAGCGGATGCATGGAGGAGTGGAAATGGTAAAATAGGAAAAGCTCGCCTTGGCGTCGTAAACAGTTTTCCAATCTTTGCACAAACCTCAGAAATGACAACAACGCCGAAGAGCCACAACCACGACGTAGTTACACACACGCACATCCCATCGAGAGGGCCAACGGCAGACAAACACTTTTGTCGAACATAAAATCGAGCACAACTTAATTAAATGTTAAAAGCGCGACCGCAGCGCGTCTGTGGCTGCCAAAGGTGTGAATACGAAGGGGTTTTTCGAGGGGGTGGGTTGGGATTTTCCGGAAGAAGGGGGGAATGCCGTTATCACACCGAAGAAGACGCTGACAGACGCTAACTTCATTTTCGGGGGACTGCTTCAAATTAGCAAACCTGTCAACTGTCAGCGTTTGTGAGTTGAAGTGTGGCCAGAAGTATGCGGGGCGGTGGTTGAAGGTGTGGGGCGAGCCGCAGGCGGAAAGGCGAAAGACAAGACAATGCGCCTCACCTGTGCTTCAACACCTTGCAGGAGACATAAACCACCCCACCCCACCCCCTCCATAAGTTGCTCTGCGAACTTTGCAGTCTATGCAGAGGCCTCCATGGTGCCATGTGGGTGGGTGGGCTGTGCGGTGAATTATGGCATGTCTACTTCCGCCATCTGGCAGCCCAGCCACCCCCCTCATTGCGTTGTTTGTAATTTGTTAATTTCCCGCATTTAGAAATTAATTTTCACTTCATGCGCCGCCAAGCAGACAACAGCAGACAGGTGAGTTCGAGTTGGCCTACCTTGGCAACACTGTAGCACACACTGGCATTACGAACTTGCACCGCAATTACGAGTGCTCCCAGCCCCACGCCACCTGAACCACCCACACCACCCCAGCCTCCCACTGAGCTCATTGCGTATTTAAATTCCTTTATGTTGTCATTAATTTCTGCAACTTGTTCGGCAGTGTCGCTGTTAATTTTTAAGCGAAAGCTCTGCCCGAGCAGACTGCCATGTGTTTGACACGTTTACATTTTAATTGCTCACATGTGTACGTTGTACGTACTGCGTACTGGGGGGAAATGCTCATTTCATTGTTGATGTGATGTGAGCAGGCGAAAATGTGAAATGGGTCTGCGGAGTGTAAAACTTTAATTGCTTTATTATGTCGGCCAGCAGGCAGGTGGGAAACCTCCCGAGAGAACCAAAATCGCAGCCTACTTTCGCGAGAAATTGGGCCAAGAAACTTTTGGCCGCTTAAGGGTTACAACGCACTGATATTAACATAATGCATGAGCTAACCAGATTGAAAATGTTAAAGCAACGGCTTTAATCAACCTGGCTCAACATAGGGTTTTTTTTTAAATTACTCATGTTGTCTTTGTGAAATACGTAAAAATCCTCAACTTTTCATTTTAAGCCTTCGTTCTCAGCCTAACTCTTCAAAATTGGATGTTTTCAATTTTTAAAATTTCGTCTTAAGTTATGACGTCGATGGGGCGTCATCTCTCACGATCTCTCGTGTACCAGCTAAAGCAGCCCCGATGGAACCGATTCTTTATGAAGTCCCACACCAACTTGCACTCCGTATCCGTTTACCTAGGACATCCCCGAGTGTTCAGCAACAAATCCAAGGATTCGAAAAATAATCAGATTTTCGGATCAAAGGAAGTGGAAGCTTCCCACCAAACTAGTACCCAAATTCCGTGGAAAAATCAGTCACTTAAGGTGAGTCATTCGAAATCCGTTTTTAGTATGGGAAGGCGAAGGGTCCGGATCTCTTTGTCCTGGGACAAAGTCAAAGGCTGTCGGCTGCACCTTTCGCAACTTAATGTTCCTGCATCGGCCAAATCATCCGATTCCACGTACCTCAATCAACAACGATCGTTTTGCAAAAATGTCGATGGTGAGGATTGCGTTTTTGAGCCCCTACCAAAACCAGAACCTCCAAAGTGTTCAAGGATATCCAGGAAGCGCAAGCACTTACTAGACCAAAAGAATAAGGCGGCAGACACGGAAGTCGCTGTGGAAACGGAATCTGATGTGAAAAATCTGGACGAAGCCGTTGATGAGCTAAAGTTCAAATGCATGCTGGCTTCAGAGAAGAAGGACTGTGAGCGAAAGCAGTACAAGGCCCTGTGCGAACAACTGAGGTCCGAAAAGCCGCAGGGGGATGCCAAAGCTGTAGACTCTCTCCTGAAGTGCATGTTGACTGGAATTAGGAAAGCCTGCGCTGCTCACGCCCAGAAAATGGTCTGCCAGAAGAAATACGCCGAGGTGATTGCCGCTGAAGAAGCTGCCAGGAAGGAAAAAGAGAAGAGGGAGGGAAAGCCACTGGACTGTAGTAAGCCTGTTGAGGATGACGAGTTTAGCTCGTTGAATAAGGCCGATAAAAAGAAGGCTAAAGAAGAGGCCGCTCTGAAGCGCCTTCTCCAAGAAATAAAAGCCAAGTGCAAAAAGCAGCGTGAAGAAGCCGAGCGTAAAATGAAGGAAGAAGCCGAGCTCAAGAAGAAATGTGCAGAAGCCGAGTTTAAGAAGAATTGTGAAGAATTAGCGGCTAAAAAAAAATGTGAAGAGGCAGCGGCAAAAAAGAAATGTGAAGAAGAAGCGGCCAAAAAGAAATGTGAAGAAGAAGCAGCCAAAAATAAATGTGAAGCAGAAGCAGCCAAAAAGAAATGTTTAGATGCAGCATCAAAGAATAAATGTGATGAAGCAGCTGCCAAAAAGAAATGTGAGGAAGCAGCAGCCAAAAAGAAATGTGAAGAAGCAGCAGCCAAAAAGAAATGTGAGGAAGCAGCTGCTAAAAAGAAATGTGAGGAAGCAGCGGCCAAACAGAAATGCGAAAAATCTGATCCTTAAAAGAATGGACCGGATGCAGAAGCTTTAAAAAAGTGTGATCAAGACAAAAAGAAGAAATGTGAGGAAGCCGAGAAAAAAAAGAAGACCGAGGAAGCCGCACTCAAAAAGAAATGCGATGAAGCTAAGCAAAAAAAGAAATGTGAAGCGGAAAAAAAGAAACAAAATGAAGAGTCCGAGAAAAAAAGAGATTGTGAACTGGCCGAGTTCAAAAAGAAATGTAATGAGCTGAAGAAAAAGTTGAAGGAGGACAGTTGTGACAAAAAGAACTGACGCGTAGATTGAAGAACGACGGACCCGAACGAAACAGCTTGCGAAGTCGTGGGAGATGGAGTCCCTGAATTAAGTCGAGTTGATTTTAGTATTTTTTGTTAATACTATTTTTTTCAGCATTAATAAAATTGAGTACTAAAATCAGATAGAACTTGACAGATCGCTATAGTCGAGATGGGGCTCGAGATACATTTTAAGGTCGTTTAAGGCGATCGTGGGCGGTAGAGGGGGCATGGCACCTTGACGAAACAAACTTGCGCTGCGCAGGAACTCCAAGAATCTCCATGGTTAATCTCAACCCTCTAACTTTTATAGTTTTCGAGATCTCAGCGTTCATACGGACGGACGGACAGACAGACGGACATGGCTAGATCGACTTGGCTAGTGATCCTGATCAAGAATATATATACTTTATAAGGTCGGAAACCGTTCCTTATTTCTGTTACATCCTGTTATAACCTTTTTGCTCTACGAGTAACGGGTAGAAAAACCATAGAAAGAACATTATGATCCTGGGACCTATAGTCTCCAACTCTGGACCAAACAGTCTCCAAACCAGAATCATAGATTTTTATTTCGAATGCACTTCTTAGTGCTGAAGAGCTAATATTAGTCTTTAACTCTGAAAGCATGGATGGTTTCAACACTAAAGCATTAAAGCCATTTAGGACTGGCTTCATAGTCAGCCGGATAAACCACTATTGTTTGGTCGAGGAAATGCCAACAGACCCGCTAAGTACAGACTTGTGGAGGGACAATGATGATGAAGAGTGGGCTGGGGAGGCCGGCAAACAATTGTGCCCGCTTGTCTTGTTTATTGTCATCCATCATGCCAAGGCCTCTGGTGGTAAGGGTTGCGGAGATCCGTCTTCAAGTCCCGATTTGCGGCTACCAGCGGTGGCTAGGTGGCCAAATGGCAGGTGGAGATGGAGATGGGAGCTTAACGAGTGGAAGTTTACTCATTCAGTCGGCGAGTCGAGTCTCTTCCCAGCCTCGGCCTCATTTAGACGTTTTGCTGCGCATTTGCCATTGTCAACTATCCGGCTACCCGTCTCCACTGCTCTTGTAACATTTCCACAAGGTTCTTTTTTCCGGCGCTCGTGCTGCTGCTGCTGTTGCTGCTGCTGATTGTTGCACAAGGATTTGTCAAGGATAAAACACTCGAGGGCAGTCAGTCGACATTGTCGTAGTTGTCGTCACCGACGCTGCTTCATCATGGTTACGATTATGATTATGTAGCGACAGTTGTCCTGCGCTCGACTGAAAGGCATTCTGGGTTGGGGTCCTTTCACACGTGGCGCAATGCAATGGTTATTGATTTTCCGTAAGGACTTCATCCGAATGCGATGCTAAGAGCAGTCCGTGCGGCCTTGGATATTGCGAGGACATTGCACTGGGAATTTAAGCAAGGGTGGGGAGTAACTGTGTACTCGGTTTCTTTTATGCTGCCAGCACAATCCATTATGCTAATAGAGCTTTAAGACTAAATTCTTCTTTTCTTTTACAAAGGAAAGAATTCTTTCGAATATTAATTTTCATGATTCATTGATAAAAAACACATAAACACAAAAAAAGCATGTTCCCGTAAAATCCATGTAAATTTCAGGTCTCATATCAAATTAAAGTTGATCTTAAATAATATAAAATCGATCTAAGTTTCATTGTTAAGTTTTTTTTTGGTTGTAGTAAATCCAAAGATATTATATTCAATTTAAATATTTTTCGCTTTGTTTTTCATATATTGTTATGAATGACATAAAATCGTTAAAGTATTTATGTCCAAGATCGTAGGTATAGAATATTTTCTACCTTGGTTCAATTAGGTTTCTGTATTTAATTTAAATATTTATTTGTACTTTTTTAATTATCTTATAAAGGTATTTTGTGTTTTTATACCCTTGTAGAGGGTATTATAATTTCAGTCAGATGTTTGCAACGCAGTGAAGGAGACGTTTCCGACCACATAAAGTATATATATTCTTGATCAGCACCAATAGCCGAGTCTATCTAGCCATGTCCGTCTGTCCGTCTGTCAGTCTCTCCGTCTGTCCATCTGTCCGTCTGTCCGTTTCTATGCGAACTAGTCTCTCAGTTTTAAAGCTATCGCGATGAAACTTTCCCGAAAGTCTTCTTTCTATTGCAGGTAGTACTTATGTCGGAGCGAGCCGGATCGGACCACTATATCTTAAGGCTCCCATAGGAATATTCAAACAAATATAAGAAAATTCATTGTAACTTTGTAGGAAGTAGGCGTTTTGATTCTTGACTACTTAAAAACAAAATTTAAATAAATAGAAACGCTGAATCTGGAATCCCTGGAACTGCACCGAGTGAGCATTCTTTTATCTGCAAGGGTATATAAGCTTCGGCTGGCCGAAGGTAGCTTCCTTTCTTGTTTTTCCATGAAATTGGTCCTTTGTAATTAGTGCCCAAAGAACGTGAATTCTTAAAATGATATCATTTTCGGAGGTTGGGGTTTTTTGGAAGTTTATCCAAGCTCTTTAAACCTTTTCGCTATTTCAGCTACATCTGCAATTGGCGACCTTGGAGCTTCCATGCACCATATTTGATTGCATCTATTTCCTTTGGCCGGGCTACTGTGATGCTGCTGCTTCTATTCCGTGTCCCCAATTTCTCCATTTGCGACAACCCAAATTCGTTTGGCAAACACATTTCACCCGGCAAATGCCAAATGCAAAGCAGGCAGCCAGAAACTGCGGTTGCCAAATTATATGCAGCTGCGGTGGCGTGGGCGTGGCATGCGGTTAGTTAAACAAAAGTGCCGTGCACCGAAAAAGTGGGTCAGAAGCCGGGTTGAAACTGTCACAACGCCAGACGCATTAAAGCTAAATTACTCTGCTGCAAGGAAACCCGAAAGCAAAGCACACCAGTCAAAGTTCAGCAGAGCTACATGGGATATACATACAACATGGGTACGACGACAAACAACATTGTCTCAAAAACACTCGACAAAGTTTCGGTTTCACTTTGGCTGTTGCCTCCGATTTTTGCCGTTGTCGCTGTTGTCAACTTCCGGCGGTCCCACCTGTTCCGCTTGATTGTTCTCGGGGCTCCCCGGCTTCGGCCCCGGCTCCCTCGTCATGAAAGGTTAATGACGGCTGCTGTCAGCGCCGAAGGTCACATCTAACGCCGAACGCCCACAACACCCACCCACCCTATGGGGGGTGGTCTTTGTGGGGTCAAGCGTGCAGCAGGTAAAAGTTTCGCTTCCCGGGGACAAAAACTCGGGACCTGTGCTAAATAGCAGGACTCTGGGGCGGGGACTCCGGGGGGTAGCAGAGCGTAAAAGTTAAATGAAACGAAACACGTTAATGGCCTCCGGCAGGCGGGGGGTGGTGGGTGGTTATTGGGCGGCCCCTGTAAGGTGAGAGGGTGTCCTGTTAAAGCCACGCTCCGTCGAAAGTGAAATCGCCGGCTCGGCAAGTTGGCAGTCCTGGCCAAGAGCCATGTAATAAAATGATATCGTTGGCTTAGTTAAGTAGCAATAAGCTGGAAAAGGTAGCCCGAAATTCGTTGGGCGCCACCTCTCAATCACGGCGTTTCAGGTTGATATTAAGTTATTTAGGCTATTTAGACGCCAAGTGAAGAACTCTTCGGGCTTCTCGGCTGGGTCATTAAAGCCAAATTACGGTATATTAGGTTACAGTTTGGGGTGGAAATTCTCCCATGGGAAAAGTTTGGTGCGCTTTTCAGGAATTCCACTACAGCTAATAGTGCTGCTAATTAACATCCTTGAATCTGCGGACCTTGGAAAATACCCAGCTTAAAGCGATTCGATTTTCCCTCGTTTCGCCAAAACTTGCACTCAATTGTTAAAGCACACAAAGAAAACGGCGCCGAAAAGGAGCCAGGGTCGAAGGGCCACCGACCAGCCAAAAAAAAGGGAAAAAAACGAGAAAAGTACAAAGAATTATGTATCACTTCGTTACGACTTACTTCCACTTAATTTATTTTCACTTGCTTTTACCAGCAAAGGGCGAGCAAAGGAAAAGCCGAGCGGATGGGACGGCAACTTTGTCTGAGCCTCGGAAAACGAAAGAAGTCGAAAAGCAGAAGGGAATTGCACATTATACAGTTGGTCAACAAAGTCTGCACACATCCAGGGCTTAAAACCGATGATATATATTTCATTTATGTGAGATATGCCCCGAGGATAACTTCCCAGAAATATTGGCTCTTCCGTTTTGGGCTGTGTGTTAATTGGTTTTATGCCATCTTTATTTATGGGATGATGACGATACCTTAAAACTCGTTGTATTGAAAATATTTTATTGATTACCTACTATTGATTTAACACATTATTTAGTATCTGAACTCTGTAGTATCAATTGTATAAAACATATTATAAAGGTTATGTTTCGTAGTTTAAAGTCTATGCCGTTTCAGTTCTAACACTTCCGAACGAAGTCATTTATCATTTTATCTCAGTAAACTCAATAGTTTAATTTCTAAAATTCTTTTTTTAACTTTGGGATTTAAGATCTTTTAAATTATATTTCTAACAATAAGGCTAAGGAATACTTAATTTAAGACGTTTTATAAGCATTTTATCATTTGGTTGAGATTCTCTTCGTGCTCTGATTGTAACCCTCGCTGAAAGGTTCTCAAACTTTGTGCTCCCAGTGTCCGATTTTGGCCAAAAGAAGGCAAGGCCCGCAGGCCTTGGCCAACAACTGGCAACAACTTTAGACGGGCTTCCCGTCTGACTGCAAAAAGCATTTGACTTTGCATTTGTCGGCGACTGCAGGTTGCAACGCTTTCGGCCTTCACACCTTTTGTTGGCCAAAAGCCGGCTGCTGCTCCCATTTACCGTTTGCCATTCAGCAACATCTACCATTTTCACCGCCGCTGGGGCTTCGGAAAACGCCTTTCGAGTGGCCGGCGCATTAATTCTCAGGTGTGCAATTTAGTGTGCGGCCAATTTCGGTCGGTCGGTTGGTCTGGACAGGAAGAGGAAGCCCAGGAGCGTCTGTTACGTGTTGACCACACGATGGGGGTTTTTTTGGGGCTTTTTTCAAGGGGGCTGGGGATTGAGCTTGAAATGTTAGGAAATTTTAAACGGAAGTTCGCGTTTTCTGCCCTTTGCGGCTCTTATTGTTAGCTGTGTTTCCGCTTCTCTGCTATTTTTGGACTCTCGTTCCGCGATCCCTGCCCATTTCCGGCTAAAACAAGAAGGCTTTAAAAGCCAGCAGCTTGCAACATTTTTTCACTCACGTCTTTAACAGAAAACTTTCGTGCAAACTTTACGCGAAACTTTTGAATGGACTACATTTGCTATGCCATGTTAAACAGCAAAAAAATGACAGCGCAGAAGGTTAAGACGAGAACTATGGACAGCAAAATGGCGCCGGCTATAATTTTCAGAGCACGACAAAAGCGGCGAGGAAAAAGAGCAAAAATAAATATATAAGAGGAGCGGACAACTTGAAAAACTTTTAATAATTGCATTTTGCGCAAGCAGCAGCATCGCATCGACTTCAACTGGCGCACATAATAAACTCCCACCACCCACCGCTCAACGCCCACCGCAAGGCCATCGAAAACCAAAGCCACCCACTGGAGCTGGTGCATCGACACCCGGGCAACAAGACAATCAGCTAAGAGATACTCTGGAGCCGGGGGAGAACAGGCGATGACTGGGCCACAAAAATAACCGAAAAGTAATTCCCCACAAAAGTAAACTTGAGCGTACAAAAGTCGAGTTTTAAAATAAACTTGCAGCCAGCTCTATTTTTCTTTCCATCGGATCGCCAAGGGATCGGCAGGAGGTTTGGGCCGGTGCATCAGTGGAGGAGTTGGTTAGCGAATAGACAAAAGTCGTGGCGGCTGGGGTGAACGGGGGCCACTTGAGGCACAAAAGGCGCATTTTCTATGAAAGAAAAGTGGCTAACTAAGTCGCCGACTTGGCAGCTTCCCTTTTCCCCATTCCCCGAAAACATCATCAGTGCCGCAGTTTCGAGAGCCTCAAGAACTGCGCCCCTCTTGTCTTCGCCGGTTTTTGTGGGCCAAGAAATATGGCTTGCGGTCGGTGCTCTTGGAAAATCGGTAGTAACAGAAATTTAAGCAGCTAAGAAAAAACAATTGCAGCCTGGGATAAGTTCTGGGTAAATTTGGGCTACTTCATGAAGTATATTAAGTAAGGGAAGAGCTTGTTAATCATTTAAGTATACAGAAACAAAACACGATATGCGGATGGTATATACATATCGTTTTTAACGAAATCTTGTTCCTTACATAACATGAAATCGATGATATTAAGTTTTTTTTGGGTGTAGAATGTTTAATAAAAATATTTAATTAAAGTGCTACCAACATTTTTCTGTAGTTTTCTAGTGCCCATAAGCTTTAATTTAATGATGCCATTTTATTCGAAGAGATTTCTGTGGATTGTTAATATTTAAGAGCTTGCAGCGTACAGTCTGCTCCAAAGCACCCGATAAAAAATTCCATAAAACAACATGGCGCACGACTAATAACCTACAAGTGCCCATGAAACAGGTCAATAATCCACGGAATGTGGCAGATCATCATCTGATTTCATCATCGCACCTCCCTCCACCACCCCCTTAATAAAATGCGACCCACTTTATTAAATATGAAATATGCTCCATCGCTGCTGTCGCCTCGTACTCGCAATGGCAAAAGGAGTCGAGGGTCCTTTTGGCATGGCCAGCACGTAGCAAACGCAGTACGCTTAAATACATGAGATAAAATGCCGGACATTAAGTCCCCTGGGAGGGGCGTCGTTCAAAGCATTTGGTATCCTATCCAAGGTAAAATGCCAAAAAAGTATACCATACTCTACGTATCTCGCAAAATTTCATGCTCAACTTGCGTGTGTCAAAAATGCGAAATTGAAATGCTTTAAAATTTAACATTTCTCCCCGGCTAACATCAAAGTGCGGGTAAGATGCAGCTGCCAGGATGCGGCAAGGACTCCGGCTCCGACTCCGATCCGTGTTGGTGGGCAAACATTTTTATGCAAAAATATTTTGCATGTCACTCCCATCTGCCTCGCCGTTGTTGTTGTAGCCAGGGTCTGTGTATTTGCCACAGACTTTTGCATGCATAACAAGTCAGCGAAGCGGACGGACGGACAAGCAAACAGAGCAAAAAATGGCCAAAAGGATGGGAAATCGGGGATAGGGGAAGGAAAAGCCACGCACACATACACACAGCGAGACAAGAAGGAAAAGGCAGTGCCGGCAGCAGGAAGCGCATACAAAACTTTAGCGGCAACCGGTCGCATTTCGTAATCTTTGCAAATAAACGCGTGAAATTCCAAGGCGCACCACAGTGGGGCATGTGGTGGATGGTGGATGGTAGATGGTGGCAGTGGATTGGGGGGGTGGTCGGGTGGTTGGGTGACTGGTAGTCGCCAGTTGGCCGACATGTGCGCGCCATTTTTGGCATACAGCTCACACGCGAAATTGCGCATGCAGATTAAAATTCTTGAACGCGCATTTCCGTTTCCGTTCGCTGTGTGCAAACTGTCGGGGAAAATGCCGGGCATTTTCTTCGCCTCGCCAACGGGGGAGTGCTTGAATTTCCACTTCAGTTCGGTTTTCGCTCTCTGTTTGCAGTGCTGATTGCAACCTTGAAGTGACCCCATGGCGAATGAAGTTGTGAACGCTGGGGAATACTCAATAAAATTTGTATCGAATGCGACATCTTTTTTGGGATTTCAGGAGGATTTTGCGACGATTTGATTAGAGACCTAAACGTCGCTTGCCAAAATTGATTACATGGGTAAAACGTTGCTCACTACAGTTGAAAGTAAATTTCCATTTCACATATTGCTAAATTTATTTCCATTTCAAAGGAAACTCTAATTATGGTTTTTAGAATTTACAAAGTACAATATTAATTTGCCATTAGAAAATTTCGCAATCAGGCCAAGTGACAGCCGCTGATGGCGCACTAATTGAGAGAACTTCCGTGATGTTAGCTGTGAAACACAATAACGTTAAGTTGGAAAAATATGTAAGCCCCCGCATGAACGTAATAGACATAATGAGTAAGCCATGTCACTAATTTTCAAATTTATTTCCATTCAAGCATTTTAAAAACTGAATTTCTAATTAGAGTTGTTTCGGACCTACAAAATCGAATATTTATTTCCTATCATACATATTCGCAAAATCCGCCACGTGACAGCCGCATTTTAGCTGTGAAAAAGAATACCGTTTAGCCGACAAAAATAAGTAAGCCCCCCTGAAAATAAATCACATTGTCGCATATTACTCATACGCCGCATGGACGTAAAAGACATTGGCAATGGCATATTACTCATTGCATTACAGAGAACGAGAGTGAGGGGCTAAATTCGCTTATTTACAGACCATTGCCATTGATATGCAGGACCTGTTTTTGCCGGCCTGTATGAAGCCAGAAACCAGAAATCGCCCAGGGTCAGCTTTCTTCGGCTTCGTTCCTACATTTTGGCCCCGAAAAACGCACATCAAATAAAAGAAATGGCTTTGTTTGCTGCATGTGGCATAGAATATCAAGCTGAACCGGGGGATGAGAAGCGGATCCCAAGGATGTGTGGGCAAGGATGAGGATGAGAATGAGGATGTTGGTGTGCTGGCGCATAAATAATGTGACCTGCCTGACTGCGATTATCTGTGAACTATTTTTCACACGTTGCCGGCATACAAAGTGGTCCATTCTCTCGGCCCCGGCAATATATGAGCTCCTTGGCCTGCTGAGGCCACTTGGCCCATTCATTTTCACATCCTGCACACACACACTCTCACTCACTTGGGCATAAAAAACATATGTGAGAGGGGGAATTTGGTATAGTTTTTTCGGCTCTTGGCTACTTACATTGTACTGAAATAATGAACAATAATATCCAGAGGCGTCGATCGAATGTCGGTCTCATGACTTCATCACTTGTCCAGGGATTCGTTGGTATGGATTTTCCTGTTCGACGCTTTTTCCGTCCGAAACCGCTCAGCTTTCAGGTTGGCACATGTGTGTACTATTTGTCGAGGAATCTGCAAAGCGGAGATTTAATTAGAATGGAAGGCAGCAAACATTTTTTATGCCAATTAAACAGTAGGTGGGTAAGGATAAAAGGTGAAACGGAAAATCTAACGACTGTTTGCACATGAAATTAATTAATTTTCCACAAAAACTTTTTTGCATAACGTTAGGCGGATTAACTGGATGGAGGACACGGGATAGAGACATCAGGCGGCCACATTTTCGACAGCATTTTGTCTGCAGTGTTTGGAGTGCAGAGCAAACAAAGAATGGAAAACGAGTGGGGGATGGGATGATGTGGCACTCGGACTCCACAAAGCGTGCGCATACTTTCCACCGGCACTGTGACTGGCTGCACGGGTTTGGGTAGCGACACAAGGCAAACAAAATTAGCAGCAAAGCTGACGGAGCTGTTAACGAATTGACGTTGCCAGGGTTGCCAGGATTTCCCAGACCCACCAGGCATCGCCCTCACTCATAACTGACTAGTGACGACGACGGGCGAGCCTCGATTATGCATATGTGAATCTGGCAAAGGACTGAAGAAGTGCATAGCTGGGAACCGGAGTCCAATCAAAAGTGCCTTACAAAGTTGTCCAACAAGGGCTTACCAATTTTGAGTTGTTATGTCTCGGCTTTGGTATTTGCCGGGCACAAAGGTTTCGATTTACATCGAAAGCAATTTCGAGTACAAAATGTTCAAAGGGGGCCCACCACCGTACACAGTGCAGTGTAAACTAATGCAACACCGAATATAGTATGCTTGTGGGGCAGCCAACAGTGGGTGCAACAACTGTGCGGCCACTTCGGCACAACAATGACAGCATTGGGCAAACATATCACGCGATCAATTTGTCAAACAAGCTGCAGCAGCAACATCAGCTGCAGCAACAGCAGTAAAATCAGCAATAAGAGCAGCGACAGCAACAACAGTTGACCCCTGAGCAACATAAATGAAGCAACCGCTGCCATGGGGAAAACACTGACAAGCAAGCGGAGCGGAAAAGGGAAAGGGAAAGGGCAGGGGAAGCCCCAGCCCCCCTCCATTGTGGGCCACAAAATTGACAGCAACAGCAGCGACATTTGACGCACATCATCAATATGCGACTCTGCATATGGCCACCCACTGCCCCTCGTATCCTGGTATCCCCCGTATCCTGGTATCCCATGACATGTCGCACAGCTGTCATTATGCCGGGCCAACAACAAAACCCAGGGACAAACTATTACACGACTATTGTATGTTAACAGAAGCTTGAAGGTTGACCGAAGGCGGCTGGTAGCCAAGTTATCGGACAACAGGAGATGCATTGAGAGTCCCTCGACCTTTTTTTGTCGCATAAATCAAGCATATGGTGGGAAATCCATTAAGGGCAGGTGCTGTCGAGAGGAAGCGGCCACTAGTTCGCCACATTTGCTGCACGTTTCCCCAGCGAAATACTTAAATGCCGGTGCGCCCTCTTATTTATGGTCAAAATGTGGAGTGGCCTTTTGTTTATGGGCTTAAAAATGGACCGCGATGAGGGCGAGAAAACGAAAGTAATTCTTTAAAAAGAAAATCTTTAAAAGAAAATTTAAAACTCTGAAATACAAGAAAGAACGCTATAGTCCAATACCATAGGAAGTGCGAGAGAGATGGAGATATGCATGCAGCAAAGCAACTGCTTGAATTCCATTATTTGCTCAAAACATTTTAATGAATGATCCTATTTAAAAAATTTCTTCTACATTTTGTTAGGTTTTAATAAGAAGCACAAACTGTACGAGTAACAGGTATAAAAATGTATTATTGTTATTTTATTTTATCCACCTTCTTTCAACATTAAGCAAAGTGATAAACAAAAGTTTAAAGGTCAGTAATCGAGCTAATAAAAAGGAAAATAACTTTCGAAACTTTCTCTACATTTTCTTAACCATTTTCTAAGCCCCTGAATGAGCAATTCATTGACTTACTTTCGGCTCACTGAACAAATCAATAATCGAGCATCGCAAAAGCACTGATAAACTGTTGAATAATTAGAAAATGCCAATTATAAGTGTTATTTTGAGGTTTGGGAAAACCAATTAAAATAAAAGCAAGACTGAAAGCAAAGAGGTTTTACATTTTAATCGGACCCATTTTAAAGCCATCATCAGCAAGCTCATGATGATGCCAGCGATACATAAACAATAAAAGCCAATGGTATGTAAATTTTACCAATTTACCGCAACAATGCAAACGATCCCGGGAAATTGTTAGACAGGAGAGACTACGGGGCAATTTCGGATGAAATCATTTCGTCTAGCATTGTATGTTTGCAACACGGCAAATGTGTTGCAGACGAACATTTTTGGTTGACCGCAAAACATCAGGCAATAGAGGCGAGAGCGTCAGGAGAAACCAGTTGGGCAAACGCAAATTAAATTTACAAAACCGAAAAACTGAACCATTCATTGGCAAGTTCATTTGCAGCCTGGCTTTTTAGTTCCGTTCGAGCGTGCCTTGAAAAATCATTTCATTGACAAGTCGTCCGATAATTGACAGGGTGAATAACAATTAAACAGTGTGACAGTGCTAGCCTGTCGTTCAGTCCTCTCCAGCCGTAGTTTTCACACCTTAAATTCTTGATTTATCGAACAAAAAGCCAACAGAATGTGTGACGAAGAAGTTGCTGCTCTGGTCGTGGACAACGGCTCTGGGATGTGCAAGGCGGGATTTGCAGGCGATGACGCACCGCGTGCCGTCTTCCCATCGATTGTGGGACGTCCCCGTCACCAGGGCGTCATGGTGGGCATGGGCCAGAAGGACTCGTATGTCGGCGATGAGGCCCAGTCGAAACGAGGCATCCTTACCCTGAAGTACCCCATCGAGCATGGCATCGTGACCAACTGGGATGATATGGAGAAGATCTGGCACCACACCTTTTACAACGAGCTGCGCGTGGCACCCGAGGAGCACCCGGTACTCTTGACAGAGGCTCCGCTCAATCCAAAGGCCAATCGCGAGAAGATGACCCAGATCATGTTCGAGACATTCAACACACCGGCCATGTATGTGGCCATCCAGGCGGTGCTTTCCCTCTATGCCTCGGGTCGTACCACTGGTATTGTTTTGGATTCTGGCGATGGGGTCTCCCACACCGTGCCCATCTACGAGGGCTATGCCCTGCCCCATGCCATCCTGCGTCTGGACTTGGCCGGGCGCGATCTCACCGACTACCTGATGAAGATCCTGACGGAGCGCGGCTACTCCTTTACCACCACCGCCGAGCGTGAGATTGTCCGCGACATCAAGGAGAAGCTCTGCTATGTGGCCCTGGACTTTGAGCAGGAGATGGCCACCGCCGCCAGTAGCTCCTCGCTGGAGAAGTCCTACGAGCTGCCCGACGGACAGGTGATCACCATCGGCAACGAGCGCTTCCGCTGCCCCGAGTCGCTGTTCCAGCCCTCGTTTCTGGGCATGGAGGCATGTGGCATCCACGAGACCACATACAACTCGATCATGAAGTGCGATGTGGATATTCGCAAGGATCTGTATGCCAACACTGTGCTGTCGGGGGGAACTACCATGTATCCAGGTGAGTACTTCCTTCGGACTTTTCTGTTATTTTAAAAATTATTTCATGAATCATTATGTACTTAATACCAACATAAAGTTTTCATGTATTGTTCGTTAGTTTTTAATGTAGATTGACAAACAATTATCATTTAAAAACTATATAAATTTATATGCATTCTATTTCCGACTTCCTCAGGCATCGCCGATCGCATGCAGAAGGAGATCACCGCTCTGGCCCCGTCGACCATGAAGATTAAGATCGTAGCCCCTCCAGAGCGCAAGTACTCGGTTTGGATTGGAGGCTCCATCCTGGCTTCGCTCTCCACCTTCCAGCAGATGTGGATCTCCAAGCAGGAATACGACGAGTCTGGGCCATCCATTGTGCACCGCAAGTGCTTCTAAGAGGGATCATCGGGGGGAGGAGGATCGGAACTTCTTCATTCTGGATCAGGAGGGCGAGCAGTGAAACTGGAGAAAGTTTGGAGTGCAGCACCATAAAAATATCAACCACAAGATGAAAGACCTTAACCTCCTGCACACCATCATCATTATAATCATCGTTTTTGGCATATTAATATGTATATATATTTCCAGCATATTAATTTAATAAATGTACTCCACTTGAGTCACGATATGATGTAGCTTTTATTGGGCAAATGAATTGCCAGTGGAAGGAGATAAAAATAAATAAGAACAAACCGCTGGTGGCGGGAGAATAATCTTAATTTTCCACTCCGCCATGGCTGAATTAATATGCGTAATTAAATTTTTCGGTCCTTGTATTTGCTTTCAATTTCGAAACTTTTAATTGCATTTGCGCTGGACAAACATAAAGCGAATCTAATGCATTCCATTATTGCAGATTATTCCGATTTATGGTGATTTTTATTCGAGCCGAACAACAACGGAAAAAAAGCGAAGGGAAACTTTAAAAGCCTCGTCAAATAAACTTTAAATTGCCAGTTAAATCTTCGTGATTTCCCACCTGAGAATCGACACCTGGATCCTTTTCACTCGCCCAGCTGACACTTGTAGGTGGCCTTAATCAAAGGCTACACTAAGCTGCTGCTCAGGGTAATGGGAAATGGGAAATGGGGAAAAGGGGAAGGGGAAGGACGAAGGATGAAGGTCGATAGGGAGCGGGAGCCAGGACAAACCCGGACAAATGCAAAGTTAAACAACTTCGACAGTGTTGCCGCACAGTTCATTGTTCGGGCGAAAAAGGGAGCAGGGAGCAGCCATCATCCTCCTTTCACTATCACAATTTCCACATCGACGCGCTGCGCTTTCCCTTCGAACCACTTGTACAAATTTTTCTTTGTCTTTTGCATGCCCTTCCCCATTTCCATTTTCCGCCCCTCTCCGCCACCGACAACATGACTTATGTGGCTTAGGGCGAAACAAATGTGGAAAGCACAAAAGTCAACATATTGAATAATGATTGGTAGGCGAAAAACGAGCCCCCCTCTCGAAAAGGGAAAGAAAGTTAGAAATGGGGTTCCCCACCTTTTCCCTTTGTTCCCTGTCTCTTTTTCCCCCCTTCATAATCATAGGCGATAAATTCTTGCTGCAAAAAAATTAATGATGCGAATTTCGTTGTTGCTTTTACGGGTTTTCTTGAATTTTAATCGAATTTTTTAGAGATCCACATGCGCTGTCGATAAGCTCGACCGGTAAATACGTCCTAACAATTGATTGATAATGCTAAGCTTCTTAAAGGCTCCCTCTTTTTCAAAAAGGCATTCGTAATTAATGGGATTAAGGCATAGAAATTTATCCGAACTCAGGAGCAGCTTTAATTTCACTTCCGATTGGGTTCTAACAAAGGCAGATGAATGCCAAGTCAAAACAAGTTAGACAGGCCAGCCCAAGACAATGGCTAGCAGGCAGCTGGCAAGTTGCCATGTGGGTTACCTGGAGACTGGAAGACCCGGTCTGGAAAAAATGCCATTCGATTACGGCGGAGTGGCATGGAAGCCCCATTCAGGCGATGGCATATGGCCGAGAGGCCGAGGCCGTAGACGGAAGCCAAAGAAGCGTCGAAAAACAATCAAGCGGGTAAATTGAAGTCAACAACTAGTTGCAGACAAGTTTCCCAGAAAATAACATACGAAGAAAATGTGAAAGTTCAAAGAGAATTGACGAATAACTGAAAAGGTATTCAATTTTTAATGGCTTAAAATTTGTAAATTCTTAGAAAATAGTTAAAGAAAAATATTGTATTACCTATCTGTGTGACAACATAAAAAATTATATTTAATTTAAAATAATTTAATTTTATTTAAATTTAATTTCATTACCTTTTAATATTATTTAAGCAGTTTATCTTCTATGCCTTTAAAAAATAAATTAGGGCATTGAATAACTGCCTCGTAAACTCTCAATAAATAATTGAGCCGTAAAAAAATCCATTTCACTTGTAAACCTGCAATAAATAGTTAAGGCAGCCGATAAACCCCTTGATGATATCCCAATATCTCCTTCATATTTATGCATTCAATCATATCAACTTCTCTTAACGACTCTGCGTAAACTTAAATGTGGGCCAGCTGCTTTCATCTGCGGGCCAGGCCTGAATAAACTCGAAAGGCTCGATCGAAAATCAAATTAAAATTTCATGCTTTAACATTGTGTTCCAATTACTGTCGCAAACAATTTATACGCATGCCGTGGAGGGGGTCCCCAGAACCCAGGACCCAGAATCCCGAACCCAGGCCAAGAGCCATTTTTCAACCCAAAAACTTTGCCCGTCGCCGGGAGGATGGAATATGGAATATGGGAGTATAGGCAATGGGTATTGGGAGGATGGCAACCCAATTCAGGCTGCCAATGCCAAACGGGTCGTTGTTATGTCATGAAAAATGCATTTTTCAGTACACAATAATAATATATGTAACACAATAAATTGCGAAACGCAAAAAACCGAAGCGAGGGTAAAGAGAGTGAGTCTGGGAGAAAATGTTATAAAATTGTTATCGAGCGCATAATAGCAAATGTTGCAAAATAACTTTTGACAAAGTGCACTCAATATCACACAAGAGGCAGCTGAAGGACCTCCAACAAGAGGGTGAGAGTGTGTGTGCTACTGACTGGCACAATGAAAAATCACAGAATGCTAAGGCAGCAAAAACTGCAGGGGCGATAGTTTGATAGTTTGCATTAGGAGAGAAATAAAAGCAATGGCCACTGGGGATATTGGCAAATAAATTGACACAGTTTGATGAAAAGTCAAGGCGATCATTGGATTCGTTTAGCTTGAAAATGATACCCCACAACCAATAAAAAAAATGCAGGAAAAACTCAAATCAAACTCCCACTCCGCCAACATTCCTCGTCATCGCATTTTCCCCATTTTCCTCAGTCTTCCTGCCGCCTGTCAAGTTGTGGGCGTGTAAACCAAATTACGGCAACACATGTGCCGCAAAATATGCAACAATTTGGAGCAGCAAGGCGAAAAGAGGAAAAGGGAAAAAGGAAATTCCCAGGCGAACATTTTTTCGCGGCTGGTGTGGGGATGTGGGTTAAAAAAAAAATTCAGTGCATAACTTTGGGCATTTTCCTGCAACTTTAAGCCACGGCGCTCCGGGGGCGGGCGTGGCATGTCTGTTGCATGCCTCTTTGCGCCCGAAACAATGGCCTGCATATGTGGCGCCTGCAGTTCGATGGCTCGAGGGGGGCAGATGTTAACCCTTGTGTGAGCGCTAGAATGTAGCTATTAGTTTCACATAGCCGGGCAGCGGCGACAAATTCCTGCCTAGTCACTAGGCCATTGTGTTGACAAGCCCGAAAATCGGGTCAGTAGTAAATCAACAAAACAACTCGCCCGGCGGCCAACAATGGCAATCATTGTTCTGCGGCTGTGTGAAAAATGCATGCTGCATAGTTTTAGCCCCCCTTGATTGCCACCCGGCCATCGAAAATGTGCATGCATACACGCGAGCGCGGAAATTTCGCATTTATTTTTCGGTTTGGCGAGTGGAAAGCCAAATGTAATGAATCGATGAGCGCCAAAGCCAATCGTCGAAAATAAACGAAAAGCAATATGAAATCATATCCGGGCATCCATGCAATCCCTTGCGAGGTTGTGAAACAATTGCCGTTTAATAATGCAATAACATTTGCTAGCAAAATTTCGGATTACTTAATGGGAGTAGCATTAAAATCAGGGAACGTAACTGTTATAAGTTTTATTTTAAAAATCACACTTTAACAGTTATTTTCTGATTTGTAAAGTAAAACTCAAAGAATAACTGTTATTTTTTGAGTTTTATAATAAAAGTTGACAAATAACAGTTATTCGTCATGATCAAAAATAAAACTCAAACTTGATTTATGGCGATTTTGTGGGTAAACAAAATTTTAAAAAAATATAGGCATAAAATATGCGCGGTTGCCTTTCTTAACAAATTTTTAGTAAGTTATAAAAAGCACGGGGATCATGTTTTTTTTAATTATTTCATTTTTTCAAAAATTTCAAGGGAATAACTGTTATTCATAAAAATCAAAAAATAACAGTTATTTTTTGAGTTTTATTATAAAAATCAAAAAATAAAAATCATTACGGATTTGTAAACTACAATGGCTAATAAAAATTGTGGTGTATTTAAAAAATTTTTAGGACCCTTCTAAGTGCGTGATTTTTTTGTATGAAAAATTTACAATAACAGTTATTTTCGTTCCCTGATTAAAATACATTTAATGGTATGCCCAATGAATTGTTTTCAAGTCTTGAAATTCCATTGCATATTATAAAACAATAAGTATAAACAAATACCTGTTAATGAGAGATATGCAAGTGGCGCCATCTATCGGTAAATGCATTCTTTGCTCATAACTTTTAATAAATGTCCCGATTTAAAAATTTTCTTTTACATTTCGTTAGGTATTAATAAACACTAAAAATTGGCATTTACACTTTTGCAACATTTGTAAAAATGTTTGACTCTCCGAGAAATGGGTATTAATATGAAAAACAGTTAATGCACATTTTATGGTATGCCCAATGAATTGTTTTCGAATCTTAACATTCCATTGCATATTGTAAAAATATGAAAAAGTGTTAATGTTCAATTTCATGGCTTTTTTATATTGTTAAGTTTTCGTTTAAGGGCTGTAGGAATTTCTGGAAAACCACATTATGGCAACACAGCTATTTCATATCCTGTTAAATACCTCGCCGCATTCCACTTAATTCCGCAATCGGTGCCTTTTCACGAGATATGAAAGCATTTTTGAGTAACTTTTTATGGAGTCGAACATCGCGGACGTTAATGGGTTAACTTAAGTGCTGCCTTAAAGCCCCACATGCCAACATCAGCTATCAGCGCTTCCGTGCACACTTGAATGCACACACAAAAAGAGGGGTCTGATTGAACGCGTCGGGGGTCGGAGGTTGAGGGTCAGACAGCATTGCTCTCGGCGGAGAAGCCCCGACTGGCGATTAATCAATAACCACTCAGCGGTTGGAGCCCACCGATTTAATGGACACGAAACGAAGCCGCCCGCTGTCTACAATTCGCTGAGAGAGTGGAAGTGCAAGTGGATGTGGGTGCATTAAAATCGCCAGAGGCTACTTTTAGGCGCTGGCCGCGATGTCAGGCGGAATGTAATGAAAACGAGGCCAAATGCATGG